TTCGCTATGGGGTAACTGACTTAACTTCCACGGACTTAACTCCCATGGGCCCGTGGAAGTTATTTCAGACTTAATTTCCACGAAGATCAGACATGGAATTTATGTTATGGCGTAACTTCCAGAATATTTCCACGCATGGAATATTAATAGCTGCGGTCCAAGAGACAAAGCTGCAAGAGCAAGATGATGGTGGCGGCGTAGCGGTAATCACTCACCACACCGTGTAGTATCGTCTAATCGAAGCAGGCATCGGCCGCAGGGATACCATCCAAGAATGTCAGGGTATTGCTATCCGGTCACGCGATGTCGAGCTCGAAATATTTAACGTATATATATCCCCTGTGACCAGCTTTCCGGCAGGATATCACCCCGAAATAATTGCGCTCCTAGGAGGTGAAAACCGAATAGTAGTTGGCGACTTTTACGCGCACAACGATCTTTGGCACTCAAGAGCAGATACACGATTTGACATTCTGCACAATGAACGACGAAGCACTCACCAGGATTATACATAATCATCTCGATTGGTAAACCTGCCGACTTTGCTTCCGCGGAACACCGGTTCTATGTCTACTTTTCTAAAACTGATTGGAAAGGCTTCGCGGAAGTTACTGAAATCTCCTTCACTGCCCTGCCAACGCCAACCGACATTCATGTAGATGAGCGTCAGTTCCGCAGGGTTGTCAGCCCCCTTCGGACCCCCATCCGAATTTTCCTGCTGTAGAGGCTATCCTAGCCGATGAGCGTGACGACCTTCGTCAGGCCGATCCCGGAAATCTCCGTATCAGGTATCTCAGCACGGAGATTCGGCAACTTGTGAACGTACATAAGTGGAAGAAGAGGGAAGAGCATCTGAAGACCTGTAACTTCTTCTCTGGTGCGAGTAAGCTTTGGCCAACCGTGAGGTCACTGCCCAACCGGGCGAAGCGTGACGACGGAGTCGAAATTTCTTTCCTCGACCGCGCTTCGTCGGATCCGGAGCGATGCGAGGTCTAGTTAAGCTGGCAATTTACACTGCATCCTCCAACGGACAAAGCCAAACGTCGAGAGATCCGAAGGCTGCACAAACTGGCAACACCTAGTGCGCCTCTTGTTTTCGCCAGCGGCGAAGTGAGGATAGCCATCGGGAAGGAGGAAGGCTTCAAATCCATAGGACCCGACGGAATTTGCATGGTGATGCAGGAGTGGTTTACTTACCCAAAGTCCAAAACCTTTCTATGGCCACTGTCGTGCACTTCCTACCTCCTAGAGTGCCACAGACGCAGGCACCCGAACAGACAACTGCTCGCAGAATATCCCCCGCCAAGGCACCACAGGAGGTATCTCTACGAACTGACGGACGAAATCCAGAGGTTCACAAAACAACCTCTGCATACCAGCAGCCCCCAACTGGCATTCATAGGGAGTCGGTCTCGAGTTATGTAGACTCTCGACCTGTGAATGCCGTTCTGGGCACAAAACCACCTGACGCGGACGGGACAGAACTTTGTCTGCCTCGGGACACCACAATAGCCCAACTTCGCTCTGGCTATTTCAGAAGACTAAACTAATACCAGGGCCCTTGATCTGTAGTTCGTATCGAAAAGAAGTTTTATTCAAACGCCTAACTCTTTTATAGTTAGTACCAATCGTTCGAATTCGAACAAATTTACTATTGATTCGAAGTACGGAGTAAGGGCCCTGAGCAGAATCAATCAAAGTCCGGCATGCGGAGAGTCGCCACATGACTCACGGCAATCCTTTGCATGCCCACAAAATCCCACGCATCTAACGCCCCTGTCCCAATGGACAGCCTCTGTTGAAGTCGTGCACTTCCTGGGCCTTCACTTAGCTAAACCGGACGACAACGCAGATGGATAAGCCGACTCGAGCGGGGTTTAGTAGCCGCTACAACAACAACAACAGCAATCAATCGCAGCGCTTCGAAGCCACTTAAGTGAATCTCCAATGGCGACAAAACTTTGTCGTTCACTTGTAAATATGTTTGCTCTTGTTTATATATTTCCCCCGAAATCAAGCCAGCGGCAGGTGTATGTATGTACATTCATACGTAATCATTAAACGCTAAGAGCTAGTTGAAGGGCGAGACGCCAGCGCTTAGTGGTCACAGGCATTAGCATTGGGTGAACCCATAAAATACTTGCAAATAGGGTGCCGGTAAAGGGGTTTGTCGCTGCTGTGAACAAGACTACGAGTGGTATGCAGCTAGAACTCAATGTACCACATATACATATGCAAGTCGAATTGCGGTGGAAATAAATCTGATATCCACTTGGCAATTGGCAAGTTCTTGCGGTCAACTAAGGGTGCCGGAAGGTGGCGTAAACTCGTTAATTGGCATCGAAGTACGTCGGCATGTGCTGCCCGAATGATTGAATCAAGTGTAAAATGTGCAATTTTTTTATGGATGCACAAAATGCGAAACACACCACCACTACATGCACCCACTCACCGAGTAAATAGGCAACAAATACAAAGCAGTGCATACACTTTGCTGATGCAGAACTTGCTAAACACGCTTAAACATGAAAAAACACATTTTCTAGGTCAAAACACTTCAGTTGTCTTTTGTTTCAAAAATTTATCTTTTGCTATTGTTATTCCTCCTTCTGACTTGCACGTTGGCCTTGGCAACGTAGTGCAATTTGACTGCACTATGTATGTGTTTAGTTTTGTTGCATATGACTTAGATTTTATTGGTGTAGGGTGTGGTTTGAAATAAATTTACTGACACGTGTTAGCTGAATGTGTGGATTTTGCTTTAAGGGCATAATATAAAAATAAACACAAAGTGAAAGAGTCTACACTAATGCACTGAAGTGCATGCGTACCCAGCAGAGATTGTGGAAAAAGCTAAGAAACTATTTTTAATTACTTCTTTTTGCGAAAGCTACCTTCGCGTGTAAAGCGCTGAAAAAAATCTTCCCATTAGAACAGGGAACTGGTATCACTCTTTCCAACAGAATTCCTTTTCGGTTCCAGCTTCCTGTTCCACCAAGACTTACATAACGCATACAAAACAGAGTTACGCAAGGCTAAGAAATAGTCTTAAAGGACTTTTGTAGTAGGAGACTTATAAACTTTCCCATCTAAGAGTACAAGCGTGAAACACAAGAGTAATGGGAACTGAAGCAGCTGTAGTGAGAAGCCGGTAAAGGACCTACTTATTTAACATGCGTGCTCCGGGATGCATAAATAGACTGGTAATTTCTGAAATTGAAATAGATATTGGTGCAAATGTTTCAAAATGTGATAAGCACAAACCAAATAGAATCGGCAGTTAACAATTTGAAATATTCACATCTATAGGTGTGCATAGAATATTTCCAGCCATGTTCCAGAAGGCTAGCGACCTGACGGTGTCATGACTGAAACCTATATATATTCATGGGATCTTTGAGGCTATACCCAAATTAAGCAAAAACAAGTAAGGACACTGCGGTCTTATCTATACCGAAGGCTACATACCTTTCATAAAAGTTTGCTTTAACCCAATACTGCATTTTTTGTAAGTTTTTGAAGTGATACTTCTTTAGCGGCGGTTGGTTGGTTGGGAATAAATTTTCAAATTCAACGGAAATTGCACACGGAAATGGTGCAACGGAATTGGTTGGTTCTGAAACAAGTACTTCTTGTATGTATGCATATGATATTAATTTAATAAAAGGTTAAGTTTCTTTATGAATTATCTTCTCATGAAGAAAATTTTAAATTTTTTAATGCAGATCTTAACTAAAGATTCTTAAAAAGATAAACAATAGTCATTCCAACATATCTGCAGTAAAATCAATTTTTTTGTACACAGATAAGCTCATTTTCATTGAAATAAAAGTTTTATTCCGTCAAACTAAGTGAAATATTTATTGAGTTTTCTTGAGTGCTTTTACTCCTTTGCGGACTTTTCTACAATATATTGCACAAATTTGAGGTAGCTCTAATAGCTACATAAAACAACTTTTGAATATTTTTTCTTTACTTTTGGTATTATGTGGCTCTATGAACCTTGTAATTAAGATGACAAATTTTTATATTCGTCAGGGATGGATTTGACCGGAAAGGGTTAAGAGTATATGAGAGATATGTATTTATTTTTGGTGATATTTGTTTAACGATTTTTATTTTACTACTGCTCCTTAAAGAAAACACCAGAAGCTACTTTTGCTTTCCAAGAAAAAACTAATAAATAAAAAACCAAAATTTTTTTTCCTTAGGCACTCCGCATATTACGCACCTAATCATCTTGTAATGTCAAAACGAATGACGACGACGACTCCACTTCTGCACACTTGGACGCCCTGCATAAGCCATGCTGGCGCACACATTACACATTTTCTGGCCGGTCTTTCTCACTAATACACTTCCGCGAATATTTCTGCAATAAAATATTGCGTAAACGCTTATGGCTTAATACAATTGGCACGAGTTTTAGCACAAAATCATTGATTTTGATTTATTTCCTATTGAAATGACAAATAATTTTTATTTCCAGCACAAAAAAGTAAACAAATGCCGATTTCAAAACGGCAAGCGCCTTAGAATGTTGGGCGCTTCGATTCATGAAGTTTTTATGATTAGGCGAAAACATGATTATAAATCGTAAGATACAGAGCTTCATTAAAATACATGTGTTCGGCATAAAAGGTTCATACTTTAGTATGCCGAAACGATTACACTACTATGATTCGGCGCTTAATGTGCGGAGTGCCTTAGGCAAAAAAAAACTTATTTGATATAGACTATAGGCGGATTCATATAAGGTGGTGTTGTTACAGCTGATTTGATTTTTGTTATTCGTCTCACGGCTTAGAATAATAAATCGAAACGCAAAATGACTTAAGTGCCATTGACTTTATTTAAATAATTTTTTTTACTCACTTTTTAACTTTCAAACAATACAATGATGAAATTTTACTACTTCGGATAATTTCCGAAGTCCCTCCCGAATAGTACAGCGCTAATAATTGAATTTGCCGGTAAGTGTACTTAGAGTCATTCAACATTCAATCATGTAACTTCAGCAACCATCTTCTTAAAAACTGTATACGAGGAGACAAGTATTCCAAAATGAATACCACCATTGACAGGCCTAAGCCCAAAGCAAGTATTGCAAAGCAAGCATACAAATCCTCAATACCCAAATCTGCATCAAAATCGTTAATTATCTTCACCGTATTTTGTTTTCCCAAAACTTTACTGACCCAGCCTTCCACCAAGCCCGCCGAGCGCATCCACCAAATTTCCGCCTCAAATTGTGCCGTAAAAAATGAATGCTTTGACAAATACATTGTTATCTGCAAATCAATAAGATCATCGTTCATTACAACAAAAACTCCAGCCTGATTGTATTCCCTACGATATAAGTATAGAATATCTACAGTTCCAACAGCAACGAAATCACGTTGGTGTTTCTCTAAAATGTATTCAAACGCACTCAACTCATCCGAGGACGTCAATATAACCGAGGGCAAGGCATCTAATTGCATTACATCGGTGAGATACACTTGATTGCTAGCCGTCATTACAGTTGTAAAGTTTTGGTCAATAAGATCTTTGAAATCGGTGGGCGGTGGTACTATAATATCGCCATGTATATAGGAGAAAAGTATGCCCTGATAAATGGCGCGCGAAATCAGCGTAAATAAAAGCCAAGCTGTGAAATGAAGACGTTGGCACGAAGCATCCGGCGTATAAGTTGTTGGCAAGCCGAGCATTATTGCTAGAAAGTTTAAGAACGGTTGTTTACTGCCACGGCTTGCTCTGGTACAATATTTGCTCATCAGATAATGCAAAACGCGGCAAACTGTGCAAGCAAACCAAATTAACAGCCAAATGAGCCAATCAAAAGGGCTAATGATCATTTCTTTCGAAGTTAAACGATATGCTGCTTTCGCTACGGCCATTATCTGTCGGGTTTGATAGTAGCTTGAAACGTGCGAGAGCCTACCGTAAAGTTGCGACGATTGAGCAAAGCCACCCAAGGTGAGGTCAACTACTCGATGTTTAACCTGAAAGTAAATACGAAAAATGATGGCAAAAATGTGTGAAATGAAACGGATCAGAAATGCACAGGAACAGTAAAGGTTATGATTTTTATAGTAAAAATCAGATTATAATCGATATTTTTTGTGATTTTTATTTTTTTGAACATTTTTAATCTCTATTTTATGATTTTTTATGTTTTTATATTTTTTATATAAAAAAAATTTTAGATTATTCATAACCGTTATAATATATATAGACTGCGTTTTCCTAAGCGGATTAAATCTTTTATGAACTAAAAATAAAAATCATAAAATAATTATTTAAAATTATAGTTAAAATATAAATTAAAAAGTAACGATTTTGCAATCTTATTTGTCAATTTTATTGTGGCTTTCTAATATTTATTTCAATAGTGTTATTGTGCTTTGTACCACGATTTGTTTGTAAGGAAGAATGGAAGAACAAGCGGTAGAAATTATAGCTGCTATTTCGGAGGTTACCACATCGCCTCATCAGACTTATTTTTTCTAGACTTAAGCAGGGATCGAACCCGCATCATCGATGTGCAATAATTTTAAAGGAAAAATCCTTAATAATAACGATTACATAGGTCTCTAAAATTTGGGAAAAGTTCAGACCCTGGAACTAGCGTATATACGTATATTTCTGAAAACTTTTTGTGCCCGAAATTCGGCATCAGATTTGGCCTATTAGCAAACACAAAATTTTTTGTTTTATTCACTGTGTAGTTTCATCACCAAGAATTCATTTTTGTAGAAAAATTAATAACTCCTTTGAAAGTAAATATTTTTCCTTGCAAATACTTTTTCACTTAACTAATTATCGTATTTAACACCCGAGATATTTCTTCTATACATAAATGCTTGAAAGAAGGATACGGTTTGAAAAAAAACAGATTTGTAGTATATTTTAAAGCTTCTATATTTACATTATGAATGCATGTATGTGAGAATCACACTTAAACTCCATATGTATGTTCAAAATCAAATAAAATAAATCAAAAAAATAAACGTTATGTAAAAAATAAAATAAAACCAAATTTTGATTGATTGAGCAGTAGGCATTTTGGGCCTAGGGGTTTACAGAATTTATTTTAGTTAATTTTATTTTATTTTATTTCATTTTTGGGTTAATTTGATTTTATTTGTTCTAATTTAATTTTTTTATTTTCTTTTATTTAACTTAATTTTATTTCATTGCTATGTTTCCTTTATTTTATTTTATAATATTTATTTTATTTTAATTTTTTTAACATGCAATGCTTTTTGATTGGGATCCTCACAAACCACATATCGTCGCTCGAATAAAGAAACAGTGTAAATGCCACATACACTATTATTCGATAATTGCACCATTTGATAGACAATCCTTTAATCTATTAGAAAAGTCTTTAGTTTTCTTAAATATCTCTTTGGCTCACTAATTTATTCCCCAAAAACGAAATTGCATTTGTATGGTTTGTAATGGTTTATAAAAACTTCCAATTCGTTTTTCTCAAAACTAAACTTTTCATGCTACATCGTTTAAAGTACAAAAGCGCGTATAAAGATAATGCAAAACTTTGTATGTGAAGTTGCCCAAATTTTATAGGAGGGAGTAAAACTTGGAAAAAATCGTATACATGTGAATCATCAATGATATAAAAATTGGTCACAAATGAATAATCATGCTTGATGGGATCTTAGGTCAGCATTGACAAATCATACTTCGACGTCATATTAAACAACATGAGCATTTCTCTGCTCATAGCATTACTAACATTTTTTGTTTAATTTTAAAACACTTTAAATTTCTTTAAAAAATACTTATCCTTGATTTCTTCGCACTTCTTCGTACTTATTTGCTTTTCTTGTGAACCTTTCCATCATCAGTGACAATCATATGACCGGCCAAATGATAGTCACTGAAAAAAATTCTTATTCTATCAGCATTGTCAATCATATGACAGGTAAAATGATTGTCACTGTTCTACCCTACTCGACTAACACATACATTTTTGCATATGTGTTAGTTTTACTTGTGAATGCGTAGGAGTTTTAGTCATTCCCCTGCAGCAATTCAGACTGACCCTATTGTTACCAGCACTAGTCAGATAGTCCCTATTGTTACCAGCACTAGTCGCTCATAATTCCCTTGCCAATGGTTTGAACTGCCATTTTTAGCATTGGCGTGTCGTTGGAAAAGGACCAGTCCAATCAACACTGACCGTAAGATAGTCCTGGACTAGTCCAATTTTGGAGATTTTTTTCGTTGGAGTAAGATTGCGTTCTACACTTCGCAGATGCTTTTTCATAATTCGGAAACACAAAAAAAAAAATGTTATCATTTTATAACCATGTTACTTCTGACGGCATTTGAACCCGGACCCTCCTGAAAGCTAACAAATAGTGGCAAGCATCTCTGCGCACTGAGCTACAGCCACGCATGTAAACGTGTGTTCAAATGTTCACTTTACATCAAGGCCAGAGCAAGCGATTGAGACATTTACAGGGTGGTGTTATTTAAATTTTTTTGGTTATTGAATTGGAAGACAACACCACCCTATCACTGCCAAACTGTACTTTTCGTCCATCTCTAGGCCGGTTCCTTGGGGACTGGTCGAAGGCTGACATTTTCGATGCAAGCAAATGTCCAATTCTTACCAGTAAAATTTTAACAAGTGAAGTACTAGTCCTTAACGGAAAATTGGCCGCCTTATTGCTTGTAGGGTTGGTACTCGGTAAGCCGATAATAAAATAATTTTATGTATAAAATACATGGAATAAAATTATCGAACACACAGTGGCCCAGTACCAAGCTTGGTGTGAAGACTCCTAATGTCGTTTTTGCTACCAGAAGTTTATAATACAATAAAATGTTAATAAGAGAGCAACGAAATTATTTCACATCAACAAAAAATAATGATATATAAAGTTTTCGCGAAGCTCATGAGTATGTACAATGTACATTAGGGCGGTCCAAAATTAGTAAAGCCGGAATTTTAATGCTCTTACCTCCTAGGATTCTCTGTCGAAAAAATACCCCCTATCTTTTTTATTTTGAAATCAAAAAATATTTCAAGGTCGCTCAAAGCGCTTAAAGTTGTATGTATTTTATATGGGGAAAAACAACTTTTCGTGGAAATGGTATTTAATTCTTGAAAATCAATATTTTTCGATCGGAAAACTCTGATTCTCTTCAGGAGACCTCCAATAACAATATTCAATTGTTTATTTACCCATTTTTTAATACTAAAGATTTTTGTATGATTCCCCTTATCGCATTTTCTGGCACTTTATAGGGGTTTTGGCGGAACTATAAAACATAGTTACTATGGAAAAATGGTTAAAAAAATAATTTACTATTATTATTGCGAATCTCCTGAAAAGACAAACAGAGCTTTCCGGTCGAAAAATATTGATTTTCAAAAATTCTACACCCTTTCAACGAAAAGTTGTTTTTTTTTTACATATAAAATACATGGAAACCTTTGATAGCTTTGAACGACCTCTAAGTACTTTTCGATTTCAAAAAATGTAGTGGTATATTTTTTCCGGTATAGAGAAATCCTAGTCGGTGCGAGCATAAAAATTCCGACTTTACTTTTTCGCACATGAATTTTTGGACCACCCTAATGTACGTATATATATATATAATTACCATATCGAGTCCAACGGCGCGCTGAGCCATACTTCCGCACTTGACGCCTCTCAAAGGAACTTTAATATCGATGGTGAAATTTAATCGCTCTGCCAATAAACGTAATAAATATCCTTCAAAGCCGCTTACAATGCGACTTTCACCGCGAGAGTCTGTGTCCAAGTAAACGTACGGTGGTGCATGCCAAAGCGCCGCTCTTACAACGCAACCATACAAATTGGTTAACTTGCTTGGAAACAGTTCGGGATTTACGAATGCAGAACCATTAAAACGACTTACAAGCACCGGCTCTAAATAGCTACAAGAATTCGCATGGAATGGTAAGTATGAATGAACAAATATTTCACCATGCGCATCTTGCGATTGCACACTGCAATTGATCATAGAATTGTCCCAACAATATTTAAATATCTGACGCAGTTCATTGAGCAAAAGGTGATCGCGTATTTGTATGAAAATATAGTAGTACTCGTTGTAATTGTTAGCCTCTATATAGGAGGCGATGTCGATATCACTGGTAAGGAAGGAAAGTGGTAAAAATAAGCGATTAACTTTGTTGATTTTTTTAAGTACCCATGTATGTACGTTACTCACCGAAATGACTTGAATGAATCAATCAGAATGAGATTGAAATTTCTTTTGCCTGACACATGTATCTTTGAATTTGCATGGCGTACCAGAAATTGCACAGCCGACAGTCCCAACATGTGAAATAGTTTCTGCATGAGATTGTTGTGGTAAGCGCAAGTGTGCTTATCACCACAACTTATTGTAAACGTAAAGAATGTTGCGAGATTAAGCAGTTGATTTTGTATAACTTCCATGATCGCCTTGGCGGCTACGATATTAGCGTGATTATTCTGCTCACCCGACTTGTTGTTGTAGCTGATGAGCAATTGTGATATATTCATTTTAGGAATACTTTTTAGTATATATTTTTTTTTAATTTTATCAGAAAATGTGGCGTTATGCGAAAGAAGGTGTAGGCGCTACTAACATAACCGAAGTCGGCAACTTAATAAATCAGTTGAGTGAGTTAAGTTCTTGAAAGGACTACTTTCGGTGTGGCTGATTAAATGAATGCAGTGTCGTAGCCAGGGGGGAATGAGGGGGATAAATTACAAAACTCTTATAAAAGACTTGCATCTTCATAAGATTTTGCGCTAATTTTTATCTGCCAAAAAAACTTGAATTCAAATGCCTAAGAAGTGTAAAAATGGCAAAAAATAAATACCGGCTATCATTTTATTTCTCAACATAGTCTCCTTTCTATATTGGTGTTGGTGTTGGGCTCCTTTCAGCTCGATAAATTTAATTGTTGCTCCAACCGCTAAATCGTCTGGACGTATTTCAATGAACGCAAAGATAGTTTTCAAACTGGATTAAGATGTAGAATATTTCTCGAAGACAGTTGCCACCTATTTTGAAAACTAAAATTAATTAACTAATACTTTAAATAAAATATTATAACAATTCGGGTGTAAAAGAAAATGATTTATTTCGAAAATACTTTCGAAGAGAGCTGCCACCAACACAAAAAGATATAATCAATTTAATTAACAAGTTGAATCAAATATCATAATATGGTTGATACCCGAGAGAAGTTTAAGAAGTATTTTGGAGGGCATTTCCGTCATCCCTTGTCAAATTTGGTTTGGAGACAAACTGGCTTCGGCGTTGTGCCATTTTCAGTGTCAACAACAACAACCAAAAAGGAAAAGTTTGAGAAGCTTTATTTCGAAAATGTTTTTAAAGAGGGTTAAGGTGCGTCTAAACACAGTATATCTCAAATTATAAAAAACCCGATTTTCCGAGAAAATGTTAGATACTGTGTTTTGGAATGGAGCAGCCGATATGTACGTAGGTTTTTTCAAGGTCCTCAAAATAGACGTTAGGGGTACAAAAATTTCCTACTCAAATCTATTTTATTTCTATGGCTTGTAGTACGATGATCGTACAGTGTTCCCCGCTTAATTGTTCCCTGATTAATCGATTTCCCCGCTTATTTTGAATTACCTTATCGTCAAAAAAAAAAAATATTGCATACAAAATCCACGTAAATTTTCCCGCATAATTGAACCCGGTTAACTGGTTTCCCCGTATAATTGGTTAAAAACATGTGGCATTGAAAACAGATATACTTGAAATTTTCCCCGGTTAATTTTTCCTTACGTTTATTCTATTTTTTATAACAATTATCTCTAAAAATATGAGGACAAGTATACATACTTACGAATGAACGTTCAGATTTTGGCGGGACAGTTCCGATTTTTAGAAAATTGTCACGTTGAATATTTTTTTAGAAGTCGGGACGTATAACTGTCCCGATTTTTCCAATTTATACCGATTTAATCCCGATTTTCATGGTTTTCTTTATTAATTTAATAAGCCCAGAAACCTTTTTTCGGACAAACTTGGCAGCACTTTCGTTATCAAAAAGAACATAGAATATAAGGGAGCTATAAACATAGCCAGCATCCTTATTTTCCAAGATTTTTGGTTATATTTTATTCTGCCAAACTGGTACTTTTGCTATATTGCAGTTTATCATTCTTGTCAATTATTATTATTTTTTTAACTTTAATATTTGATCAAAGGATAAAAGTCAAATTTCAACTTTTAATTTTGACTGACAGCATATCGGTAAAAAAATAACTATTATTTATTGACACGTTTGAAAAAAAGAATAACAGTTTCTGTCTCTTATTTTTTCTAATGAAAATATAGCTTACTATTTTAAAAAAAAACATATGTGAATGAAAATTTCAAACCTTGTGGAATCAATTATATAAATAGGCAATCATGTTTCCTTTACACCCCTTTTACGGCTAAACTGTACTTCTAAGGTATAAACAATCATATATCATTAGAAAGGTATTTTGATGCTGATGTGCAGACAATTTTTAAAATTTCAAATTAGTTTAAAATAGAGCGAAAAAATCAATTCAAAAGTCACACCAATACCAATGCCATACATGTACATAGTTGGGGCGGAAATGCCTCCTAAATGTATGCTTTAATATTGATAGTGAATTAAAGAAACGTGGTAAGCAGCAGTTTAGGAATAAGATGTATGTATGTATGTACATGAATAGATTAGCCTCAAACAAGGATGAAGATAATTTTGAGTATGGAGAAGAAGAAAGGGATAAATACAGAAATTAAAATAAAAGTAAAGAAACCTAAATATAAAGACAAAGAGGAAGGAAAATTTAAATACCTAACCTAATAACAATGGTGGGGGTGAATATGTAAATGAAGA